TGGACGGAATTTACCGCCCGATTAGGGCTGCATTCCCAAACAACCCGACTCGCGGACAGCGCCTCGTGGTGCGACAGGGTCCGGGCACGACGGGGCTCTCACCCTCTCCGGCGCCCCTTTCCAGACGCCGTGGCAAGACATGCGGGCCGTCTTGGCCTTGGCCTTTGCCCGCGGCCTTGGCCTTTGCCTTGCACAGGGACTTGGCCTTGCCCACTGCCTTGGCCTTGGCTTTGGCCTTGGCCTTGGCATGGCATGCTGCTGGCTTTGGCTGGGCTGCCTTGGCCGTGGCATGGCATGCTGCTGCCATGCTGGCCAGCCTTAAGGGAGGTGCCCCCCCCTTATAATAGCCTGTTAAGCCCTTTTCAATCTGGCAGGAGGAAACATCAAGCATGTTCGAGGAGTCATAATGGGGTGCTGGCTTTGGCTTGCCTGCCAACCCGCTCTGATACCAACTGTCACGGCCTTGGAATTTCTGAACCAACCCTCAGTCTTTCCAAGCCAACCGTGCGGCCTTAGATGCTTGTAGCACGCCTTGCTTGCACCTAAGTAAGCCTTTTGTGGAAGGGAGCTAGGGGAATGCACACACAAGAGAGATTTAGAGAATATTAGCTTTGTATTACACTTGAGAGAAAGCTTACAATTCTTGGATACTTGGTTTTTGGTTGTTACATAGGTTGGTTTGGCCAAATGAGGGCCTCCCCTTTATATAGCCTTACAAGGATTATTCTAGAACTACTATGGTGGAGAGTGTTCTAGACACTTCCACCTATTATATCTAATAGACTATTCTAGAACTATATGGATGGAGGGGATTCTAGATCCTTCCCTCATCCTTACAAAGTGCCTATTGTAGAATATACAAGACTTATGTAGAAGCTACTAGAACTATGTACTAGATCTACTATTCTCTACCATACTCTAGGAAGTTCTGGAACCTTCCAGCTTCCTATTTGATCTTCATAGCTTCTCAAGTCTTCCATGAGCTTCCAAGCCACTTTACTAGCCTTGCCTCCTTGAGACTTCCCTTTTGTAGGTTATCCTGCCTTAGTGATTTGGCGGGGCGTGACATTCTCCCCCACTTATGCTAGCGACGTCCTCGTCGCGTCGGTCTTGATGATTCGGCGGGGTGTGACATTCTCCCCCACCTATGCTTGCGACGCCCTCGTCGCGTCTCCATCCTCGAAGTCGTAGTCTTTCTCCTTGACGTACTCCTTCTTGGTTTCTCCTTGCGACGCTCTGATACCAACTGTCACGGCCTTGGACCTCAGTCTTTCCAAGCCAACCGTGCGGCCTTAGATGCTTGAAGCACGCCTTGCTTGCACCTAAGTAAGCCTTTTGTGGAAGGGAGCTAGGGGAATGCACACACAAGAGAGATTGAGAGAATATTAGCTTTGTATTGCACTAGAGAGAAAGCTTACAACTTGGATACTTAGGTTCTTAGTTCTTACATAGGTTGTTGGGTCTTGGGTGTTAGTTTGGCCAAATGAGGGCCTCCCCTTTATATAGCCTTACATAGAATATTCTAGACAGTCTTTGACTTTTTCGCGCCACTCACCAAGGTGCAGCTCAACCCCTTGAGCCATGCCAACCGTAGGCTTTACCTTGGTGTTTGCCTCCTTCATCAATCCTTGACCCCTGTCAAGATTAAGACCATCCCTCTTGGCCTCTTCCACATTGATGAAGTGGTGCGATGCCCCGGTGTTGACCATGACTTGGGTTGCCTCCCCATCGACCTTGCCCTCTACGTACATCAAACCCTTATCCCCTTGGGTTGATGCAGTAGGCTTCGCTTCAAGCAGCTGCAGAGATCCCATGCAAGACTGCTCTTCCCTTTCTTGCTCCTCCAGCTTTGCAATGAGACTCCTCCTCTTAGGACAATCCCTTGCCCAATGTAGCTCATCGCAAAGGAAGCAGTTATCTCTTGGCTTCATATCCTTAACCCGCTTTGCCCATTTGCCCAAGTTTGCAGCAGTCTCCATTCCGCGGTGCTCCTCTGTGTGAGTGACTCCCGACATAGTGCCCTTCCTTCCTTAAGTCACGACGCCTTCGCAACCCGCTCTGATACCAACTAGTTACAACGCCTTTGTAACCTTGGCTCTGATACCAACTGTCACGGCCTTGGAATTTCTGAACCAACCCTCAGTCTTTCCAAGCCAACCGTGCGGCCTTAGATGCTTGTAGCACGCCTTGCTTGCACCTAAGTAAGCCTTTTTGTGGAAGGGAGCTAGGAGGATTGCACACACACAAGAGAGACTAGAGAATGTTAGCTTTGTATTACACTAGAGAGAAAGCTTACAACTTGGATACTTGGTTCTTGGTTGTTACATAGGTTGTTGGGTCTTGGGTGTTAGGTTTGGCCAAATGAGGGCCTCCCCTTTATATAGCCTTACAAGGATCATTCTAGAACTACTATGGTGGAGAGTGTTCTAGACACTTCCACCTATTATATCTAATAGACTATTCTAGAACTATATGGATGGAGGGGATTCTAGATCCTTCCCTCATCCTTACAAAGACCCTATTCTAGAACATACATACAACCTTTATTCTAGAGTCTTCTAGCTCTATACTAGCTCTATATTATTCTAGAGTCTTCTAGGCAATCTTCTTGTAGCCTTTCTTCTTGTAGCCCTTCTAGAGAGTTCCAGAACTCTCTAGCATCCTTCCTGGCCTTCATACTTTCTCAAGTCTTCCAGGAGCTCCCAAGCCATTTCACTAGCCTCTTTCTTTTGAGATTTCCTCTTGTTGGATACTTTGGCCTGGTCACGTTGGCGGGTCGTGACATTCTCCCCCACCTATGCTCGCGACGCCCTCGTCGCGTCGGTCTTGATGATTTGGCGGGGTGTGACATTCTCCCCCACCTATGCTTGCGACGCCCTCGTCGCGTCTCCATCCTCGAAGTCGTAGTCTTTTTCCTTGACTTACTCCTTCTTGGTTTTGACTGTGCCACGTTGTACTTGGTACATGACATGCTACCACCGCTAGTCCCTGATGCCCTTGTCAGGGGTACATTACCCTGCCTACCGCCATGCTTGTCCGTTCCCCTACCCACGGGAAACCCGCCCCGTGCGGACACCATCCTTGGTGCGGACTCCACAATGAAGGTGCTTGGCGTAAGTCCCACGTACCGTCCCAGCACCATGCCACGGTCTTTGCCTTTTTCGCACCACTCACCAAGGTGTAGCTCAACCCCATGAGCCATGCCATCCTCAGGCTTTACCTTGGTGTCTTCCACCTTCATCAATCCTTGACCCCCGTCAAGGTTCGGATCAACCCGCTTGGCCTCTTCCGCATTGATGAAGTTGTGGGAAGCCCCTGTATCTACCACGACTTGGGTCGCCTCCCCTTCGACCTTGCCCTCTACGTACATCAATCCCTTATCCCCTTGGGTTGAT